CCGACGCCGCGCGCTCCCGGTCAGACCTGCAGATGGTGAACATCTCCCTGCGCGTCCTCACGCGGCCCAACGCGGCCGAGCTGCCCAGCATGTACCAGCGCCTGGGCCTGGACTACGAGGAGCGCGTCCTGCCCTCCATCGTGAACGAAGTGCTCAAGAGCGTGGTGGCCAAGTTCAACGCGTCGCAGCTCATCACACAGAGGGCCCAGGTGAGCTCTTCTGGGGAGGCTGACCCCCGCGTCGCAGAGAAGCGGCTGGGCTCTGGAGGTGGGGAGTGGAGGAGCAGATGAAGGGCGGATACGTTAGGCTGGTGCGTCCAAACAGAAAGGGCGCGGGTCTGCATCCCGCTTGCGAGTTGATTCTGGCACAGATGCTGAGGCTGTGCTGCTGGCTTCTGAGAGGGGAACTGGATTTGTTGGCGTATGGAGTGCAAAACTGCACCGTAATGTAATGGTGCGGGAGGGAGAGCTGATTGACATTGTAGTCCACCGATAACAGTAGAACTGGCTTTAAAAAAAAATTAGCTGGCCGTTTGTGGGTCTCAGAAGAGCTACCAAAGCAAACTAAACGGGTCTAAAGCTTCTGAAAAGCAAAGCGGGTGGGCAGCTAACAAAGCAGTAAACTTTCAGTAATGGGTGCTGCCGAAAGGTAGCAAATATTTCTGTTTAGAAAAAGAGAGTAATCCAGGTGGGCTGAAAAACAAGAGAAATATTTGGTTTATAAAAGCTTATACCTGAAAGTTTGTGTTCTGATAATTTGCTTGCCAAGGATTCTTGAGAATATCTGTCACCTGTCACAGCCGAGGGCGGCAGAAGTTGCTGATCTTTTTTTAAAAGGCTTTAGAGGAGATCCTGCCTGAGACTTACGAAGAGGAGAAGTTGTCAGAAAGATGAAATGCAAAGCATCTCCTAATTAGGTTTAGTTGCTGTTCTATGACAAAAAAGCAAAGAGTAGAGCTAAGCGTCCAGGTCTCGTTGTGAGAACTGATCCGTAGCAGGGACTTCAGGGTTTTGTGCTAGGCCACGTGCTGTGCACTGGAGGGATTTGGTGATGATCTTGTGGAAAGAGAATGAGCGGAAAGGGAGAACGTGACAACAGAGAAACAATTCCTGCAAGGGATTCAGGTTTATCGGAAGCAAAGCAACGTGGGTGTGTCTGAAATTTCTGAACAAACTGGCTTGAATTTGCCTTCTTGTCATACATTCATCTAGTGTTTGTTACCGTGAAGCGGTGTATAGTGACACGGTTGATAATCAGAAGCAGTTGAAGTAACTTCACATAGTTACATGCTCACAGTTCCCTCAATAAAGGGTTCTGTCATCGTTTTAGAATTCTGCTCAAAAACGGCTGCAATAAAAGTAAAAGCAAATGCTAGACTGGTCAAGGATGTGATACTGCATCAGTAATTTATAATTAAGTCAATACCTGGTGCAGGACTTGCCTGTATCTTTTTCAGGCAGACTAACAAGTTAAAGGTAACTCAGAAATGAGTAGAATAAAGCAAAAGATCTACCAACAACACTCACCCAAAGAAATGAGAAAAAGTGGAGTAGCCACACTAGATGAGTAACTGCAGTGATTAAGAGATGTGATATGTCTACAGTGTGCAGAAGTGGGGAGTCGTATTTTTTGTTTTCTTAATCTGAATACAAGTGTGAGGAGACAGTCAGACTGCAAATAGTGGCAAATTCAAGATGGAGAAGGAAATACTTATTGCCAAAACATGCGTAGGAACTGTAGGGCTAGATGTGGTAGGATGTGAAAGCAACAAAAACTTTCAAGAAATTTTTTAATTTTTGCACCATTAATTGCAAGCATACTTAAGTAATAACTACAAATAAGCTGGAATATACTTTTGAAAATGCGGTTTGTGGGTATGCAGTGTTATTTTGAGGTGACAGATTCAGAGATGGTATTAATGTCCATGGTTCAGGGTTTGTTTTAGGTAATGTCCCTGCCGGGGCTGACGTGGATGAAGTGTGAAGAGCAGTCTTGCTTCACTATTAGAGCTCACAGGAAGTGAGAAGCAGCCTGTGTTTGGTACTCTCTTCGCTGTGTTTGTGTTTCAGGTGTCTCTGCTCATTAGGCGAGAACTGACAGAAAGAGCCAAGGATTTCAGCCTCATCCTGGATGATGTGGCTATCACAGAGCTTAGCTTCAGTCGTGAATACACAGCGGCTGTGGAGGCTAAGCAAGTGGGTGAGTTCGGTTTGTGCCTGGAAAGGGTGGATTGCCTTTGCCTTTTCATTGGATTATTAAACAAGGAAGCAGAATTTGGGGTAGCACGTTATTGTTTCTGCATCGATACAGCTACAGAGTTATAAATCTCAGCTATAACCTCCTTAGTAATGGAGCTAAACAGTTTATTTTCTCAGGTGTTATCAGAGACTTTGGGTTGTAGCTAATGGGATAGACCGTGAGTGGGACCGAGTTCCCAAGGCTGTAGGGTTCCTCTTCAGACTGGACTCTATCACTTACCGTGGGAGCTATGTTTACAGGGTCTGGATGCTGTTGATCTTATTTAAGAAAAAGTAAAGTACACTTAAATCCGTATCTTATTGTGGATATGGCCCTAGAATGCTGTCAGTTCTTTTGGAAGCAGAGTCCCCAGGCCTCAGCCATAGGGTTCTGGTGGGGGGCTCAGAAAATGGGGGCTGCTTCGAACGCTTTTGGCCATTCTGTCTGCAGCTCAGCAGGAGGCACAGCGCGCGCAGTTTCTGGTGGAGAAGGCCAAGCAGGAGCAGAAGCAGAAGATTGTTCAGGCTGAAGGAGAAGCTACAGCTGCCAAGATGATATCCTGCTTTGGGAGGTTTTGTGGGACGTGGCTGGTGAGCTTGACAGTCCTGAGGATCTGTCGCATTGGGCTCACACTTGGGAGACTGTTGACAGGTGATGTAGAGAAGGCCATGAGCCTTCACTCCCTGTTGTAAGGTTAAACTTTTACTGGCTGTGTGTGACCATAATCTATAATGCTGTTCTTGATCTGGGGAAGTAGGTCCAAGTCACTGGAGTAGAGATTGCTGAGATATTTGATGGTATGGCTTAGGAAGAACTCCTGGAGGGTAAGCAGCTCCTGTTAGCAGGTTTTAAAAAAAAAGGAATCCAGGCTACATCAAGCTACGTAAGATCCGAGCTGCTCAAAACATCTCAAAAACGGTGAGCAATGAGGCACAGAACTTGCACGGTCCTTCTGCAGTCCGTGTGCTGCCCTCCCAGCCCAGTGGCCACATGATGAATTTAAGGCGAATGTGACCTGCCCTGTTGCGATCTTTGTTCCTGCCCAGCCCTTCTCTGCTTAAGTTGAGCTTAAGGTTTAGCTTGCAATGATCGGCAATTAGATATGAGGCTAGGAGTTCATGCCCTCCATATGACAAGGCCAGATCCACAGCAAATTCCATCACCCACTGCTCAGCTGCAGCCACCAAAAGCTCCTGGTTTGCTGCAGGCTGAGAAAAGGGAACAGTGTGGGATCAAAGGTCTGCCTGACAGGGAGACAGAGTGAGCACTTCTTTTAGAAAGTCTGATGGCACTGGGATGGGAAGTCGCGAAGTTAGAGTTGTTTTGGGGAGCTGAATTGATGCAACTGAGAGTAAAAGCTGAAGCAAGTAAAACAAGAGTGCTGTATCTGGAGGGGGAGATAGGTTCTTTATTCGTGCGATTCCACGTGCATTTATATTCCTTTATGCCATCTCTGTAATGTGTTTCTTTTTCAGATTGCTGGCTCACAAAACCGTGTGTATCTCACAGCAGATAACTTGGTACTGAACCTGCAGGATGAGGGCTTCACC